AAAGAAAACTCTTAAATATCTGGGAAGGTTCTATAGCCTGGGATGGCTGTACCGCAAAAAGAAATGGTAACCTACTGCGGGAAAAATGTGCCTCGTCAGTCATGTATCGAAAGATACATGATCGTCTAAGCGTGTATCACGTATGGCACATCACTGGCTGACTAATCAGTATAGAGTAATAGTATAGTGAATAGTACAGAGATAGAGGATAGTGTAGAAAGAGCGATCTGAAATAGTAATAGAGGATAGAATAGAAATGGTGATCAATTAGAAGCCACGTCAATTCCCATATATACATTTCCTTTGCTATCACGTGATTACTTTTTCAAAATGTGAGCGCCTCTGTTTGCTTTCTGGCGATCTGTGTTCAAACTCCAGTGTCGTCAACACTTTATCCCTATAAGACAAAAAATATGTAGCAAAATAAGTATTAAATTTTGAGTTATTAATATTCTCAAGATATTATATGAATAAAGTTTACCTGTACTGCGGACATGCCTCGACCAGCAGTGTTACTGTTTTCGCCTGAACAGCTGAACTCATGGGGAGGTCATGGAGATTACATAAAAACAAGGAGTTTCCATATATAGGAGTCTGCCGTGGAGTTGATGCAGCATGGATTTAGCATCTTACTATAGAGAGATCTTTATACTAGTGTTCACCCAATACAAAACCCAAGAGCCACTCAAGCTAGAGGATTACTCTGTGGTGTTGTATAAACCTACGAAAAGCCAAGTTCAGTTCATGAGATTAAGAAGAAAAGATTATGGTTAAACCTAAACTTGAAGTAGTCAAGATTGTAGTGACCGGGAAAACATCGTACCAGGAATCTGTCCCACAAAGCAGCAGTTCTTAGGGAAAACTTTCCAAGTGGAACTTATTCGTTATTAATGGAATATGAAGAGAACAAGGATGATTCATTCTTGTGTATGTAGCATGGCGGTTCCCAGGTGCAAAAGTCATGTCTGGTGGAACCAAGGAATGCGGATCGTGAGAACGCATATCATGGAGATAGCGTTAGAGTAGCGAGAGTTTTGCAACGTTGCCTCTGCCGGAAACGGATTGCAGAGTAGGAAATAATCCCTCACAAGGTCGTGTAGTCATTTTTGAATTCTATAAAGACAAGCAAGCGAGGATTGAGCGGCTCCGGCCTAGATACGGCAGTAAAGAAGGCGTGGAAAATTTGATACTCACAGGACAGATTAAAGGGAAAAAAGGGACAGAAAAAAAATAAACGCATAACCTACTTAGCGAGCTTGAGTAAATGAATGGCGGAACAGGGTTTAGGAAAGATAAGAAAAAGACAAAATTTAATAAGAGCTACAAAGAAGAGGAAATTGTGACCAGCCATGTTCACCCACGTCCAGAGGGAGTGAGGCATAGCACATAAGTGAATCTATCCTCAATAGTTGATCCATACTTATGGTTTTCGGTCACTTTGACGTGATGTAATGGTTAGCAATGTGTCCCTAATAATTTCGACATTGTGCCACATCTAACGTACGTCTTGAAAATCACCATAAAAAATGGCCCTATGTCAAACTAAGTTTAAAAAGCATCAATGAAACAACACTATTTACTAAGCATGTAAACGTTCTTTCAATATCATATTTCTTTAAGACGTAGACTATTACGGCTCACCACACTTCCCTTTGTTTATTATAACTGAATTTTCATTTATTCTACGGAAAAATATGAGAAGGGTTTCCAATGTTAAATTCAGGACATTCCTCAAACTATATTGGTTGCTCCCCAGGCTAGATTGCAAGTCTACCCTGGTATATAACACATTGCTCGTGGGAAGAAAAATAGATTCATGCCTTTTTCAAGAGCATTTGAGCGAAAGCCAACGCAATACACTAATTCAGTGAATTCTCCTTCTTATGGACTTGTTGCAATCCAAGGTTACCGAGACCAGTCTATTACAGAGACTAGAGTCCCATGCAACATGACCAATTGCTCGTAGACGATGAGATGGGTTCATGCCTTTCGTCAAACGCTTTTGTGAAAAACTGAACGCAACAAAGAAGACTGGAATTAGAACTCGGCTCGCTGATTTGTAGGATTCCTTCACCTAAAGTTAGAAAACGCAATCTACCTTACTTTATAACCTATTGCTCGCAGGAATAGAGGTTCATGCCTTTCTCAAGTGCGAGAAGTGAACGCAGCACACAAGACTGGAAAGGGGGTACTTCGGCGTAGTGTATTGGTTAGAAAGCTTGTTTCACTAGATCAATTACGACTGAATAGTGAGTTCGACCTTGCACTTCCTCTTACACAAGACTGAAAGTCGATCTCTTCTCGACGATTCGGTTAATTCGGACATCTAGATTTGCTGCCCCATTAAAATCTATCGACTCCCCTGGTATATAACCAATAGTTCGTGGATGAAGAGATAGATTTATGCTTTTTCCAGCGTATTAGAGAGAAAGTGAGCACAAGACGCAAGACGGGAACTTGAACTCGGCCCGATTAATTTAATTTCCTCGTCCGTAATCATTACACTAGTCACATGAACATTTAAGCTTAGTGTTGGTTTGATACAAGATTGGTGCATGCACATGGTAGCGTAGTGTTGGTTTGGTACAAGATTGCAAGAATGAGGTAACTAGTATTAGAATCACTACTGATTAGTAATTATTTTCGTCCCCTGTGTGTAACCTACGCTACGGTGCCCTCGCCAAAAGAATAATAAAATGCCTTTATTTTTTATTGTATTTTTTATTTTATTTATTGTTTGAAAATACATTATTTCCTTAAAAATACAGACTTCTCCCTGCTTTCAAGAAATAATGAAATTCTTGCTTTTTGTGGTCATGATGTATTTTATGACTATTGGAAATTGCCTTGAGAGAAAAAAAGGGAAAGGTAAAAAAAAAACAGTAAAAAAAAAATACAAAAAACGAACGAATCTCAACCTTGGAAATATCGAGAATTTTCAGCTTCTTTTAATGTCTTTTCGGAGAATAGGAATCTTTCGTGTCTGTGTTTGTCTGGAAGAACTGCGAAATTCCAATTAGGGAACTTTAAGTACATTAGTGTAGCAAACACGTGCTAGTCTCTGAGATACGTAAATGAAAAAAAAAATGATGAATATTTTCGGTACTTCTAACTTGGAAACAATAGAAACTTCTACCTACTACACCTTTTCTCTTTTAATCTATCTCTCACTTTATATATATATATATATATATATATATATATATATATATATATATATATATATATATATATATATATATATATATGCGCAGTACTTAGTGGAAAGTGCTCAATATCAGTGATAGAGCTAACATATTCAGATATATGAATATTAGTTTGTGACCCTGTATTTTTCACGTTTTTGCGATCATCAGACAAACTGGTTTATTTTGTAAAACTGTATCTGACCTTACCCCCATAGAAAACTTATGGAGCATGTTGCTCAACTGCTTTCTCGTGATCCTGTACTTTATAATGCTCCATAAGTTTTCTTTGCGGTTGAGGATTTGGAGATTGGGTCGGCCATGTCATAACACTCACCTGCTTCTCATCAAAGTATTCCTTCATCAATTTTGATTTGTGACAGGGAGCATTATCCTGCATAAAAATGAGCTCGGTGGGGGTCGATTTGCACCCTTTCAGCAGAAGACAAGACTCTAAAATTCTCTTGTACTGCTCGCTCCTGAGGGTCTTTTCAATAGGTTTTAAGAAACCAGTTCCATGAAAAGAAAAGCATCCCCAGAACATTATACTGAACGGATGCTTGACAGTACTTACCGCTAAATTCAAAGAGCTTTCAAAGCTTCTTTTTCGGATTTCAGATCGCTAATCCTTTGTATTTAGCTCAAATTTCGTTTCATCGGAGAAGAGAACATTTAGGAAAAAAAAATCAGGTGAGTCACTTTTGTCGAACAGCACTGTATATATATCTACATACAGGGTGTGATGGATAAATTATCATCTGAATTACGCAAAAAGGAAAATAACACTGACATTTCATTTTATCAGATATATTTGCCAAAGTTACTTCAAAATATCTTAAAATACAAAAGAGTAAATTTAGTCAATAAAGAAAATGATGGTCCAAGGTTAGAACCAATGAAAGAATAACACGAACACAGGTATGGAATACAAAGATATATTACAACAGAAATATAATACAAAGAAGTAAAAGTATTAGTAATGACTATCAGATTTGGTTAGAGTGAACTATGTTGTCTCGACAAGTATCACTATTCCAATTCAATTATCTCTCCTTGTCTTACAATTATCCTCATACCTCTTGAGAGGCGCAGTGTTTATAATGTCAGGAATAGTCCATTACTATTATTATGGGAAAGTTTCCATAACATTTATGGATACAAGTATGTTCATAAAAGTATTTATAAAATATGTTTAATTAAACCTAGCATTTACTCAAAAAAGTTGTATCAATAAACATAACATATAAACAGAAAATATATTAATATATATATATATATATATATGTGTGTGTGTGTGTGTGTGTGTGTGTGTGAGAGAGAGAGAGTGTGTGTGTGAGTGTGCGTGTGTATGTGCCCGTGTGTGTTGTGTTGTGTGTGTGTGTGTGTTTGTGCGTGTGTGTATATGTGTATTGCGCTCCGCTAAGTCCACTACTTGGGTTGTAGCTATCATTACACTTTAAATCCGCGAAGCATTCGATAATAAATTTAATTATACGAGCCTTTGATATTCCAAAGGTTTTTGGAATCTGTAAGATTTTTCGCACTCATCAGTCAAGGGCTTACTGTCATCTATGACCTTGAAATCTTCAATTTTCTGAAGTTTACACCAATAATGCGAGCGTCTACCAAAACTCCATTCTCGTCCCTACTTGTCTTTCTATTTTATATTAACGACCAGTTTAGAAACAAGCAAGGTCATTAATAGATTTCTAAGATACAACAGTTCAGAGCTTAATCTAAGAATTGGAAAGTTTTGCTCTTGCCCAATATCAACGTCTTTTTCTTATGGGATGTTCGTTCAGGACGTGAGCAATCTTACGGCCGTATCACAATGAAATATCGGTTCTTGTCCGATCGCCGAATTAAAGCTATGCTGAGCCTGGTGAGTACTTAGACGAGTGATCGCTTAGAAATAGCAGGTGCTGTAAGCTTCAATATGTGGGTTGTGTGATAGATAACGGTTTGGAATGAGGAACCGGAGAGTCGAGTTTGAATTCTAGTCATGTTCGTTATATTCGCACTTACATGCAATACCGTTGGGAAAAGTTGGGAAAGCCATATCTTATTCCCCACCCCATTTATGTTTTAAACAAAAAGACAGACTATCTCCTATAGTCATGTTTAGCAACCATTTTACCCCAGAAAGTCATGATGCGGTGGAAATTCTTTTGTCAAGTCAAACATGAATTGAAAAGAAACAGGATCATCCAAGCGTCTATCACGGATAGAACGTAAGTTAGGATAGATATATCAAAGTATATATTCAGTTTTGATACATCCTGTATATAGGCGAGTTTATTTCGATAAGAATCGATTTTCTTCGACTTTCGATTTAATACTGATGAGTTTGTCAAAAAGATGTAAGCTATTATTTTTTTTCTTCTTTTTATTGATGGAATTGTTATCGAAACGTAATTCACTTTCCTACCCCCCCGACTTTTTCTTTCGCGAAAACCAACACCACACTACCCAATGCATTTTACAATCCTCGGTTCCATTTTAATTCCAAGGAAGGAATATATTTCGGGATCGATTTTCTTAAAATCCATTACCTTATGAAAATCCAATCCACTGAAATGTGCGTGTGGGTTTGTGAGCATGGTTTTGTTTTTATTTACATATTATTATTATTTTTTTTTTCTTCTTCCTTTTTAACTTTACATTTCGTTATAAAAGGAAATTCTGACGGTTGGTCACCAAGAGCGTCCTATTGATCTGACAATGTCCATTAAAATAGAAGAACTGCTATAACTTGTCTCTTTTTCGCCAAATCACTGATAGGAAGACAAAATGGCGAACTGAAGCCATTATCTCCGGGTTGTCTTCCGAATTTCTTCCGCGTTCCCCAGCAGGTCATCGAGGCTCCCTTCTCTCATCTGCTTTTATATTTCGACTACTTTACGAAGAGCAAAGTTTAATATCAATAGACATATTCCTGATATTCCATTGATGATATTCGGTACGATGCAGGCTTTCAAAGAATGAATGCTGAATTTTATAAGAAAAAAAAAAAAAAAAAACGACAGATATAAAATTTAAAAATATTATAGCCGGTGTGACATAAATAACTTTACACCTCCAAATAGTTTCAAAATATATGCATCATTTTCAGTCAAGAATTACGATAGCTAATTAGCTAATACTGATATATGCTATTTAACCTCATAATATTCCATTGGTATAGGCAGAGCTCTAACTTAGTTGAACAGACTCCCAAGAGGAGGCTTTCCCGATCATTATGATCCTAACTTCTTCAAGTCAAGGATCAACAGATATCTAGATTACATATCTTTATGATAAGCACTTTTGACTTCTTGTTACGCCTTTGCGACATCATTCTGTAAGCCTTTATCTTGAGAGACTCTTGAGAATTGTGTAGGGAGAACAATATAAGAAAGACATCGTAGTAATTTATATCTGGGTATTTTATCTGGGTAATCATCATAATATTGTTAATTCATTTATTCAATTATTAACATTATTATTATTATTATTATTACAAAGAGATGCTGGGGTATAAATACACGTGGCCCAATATACCCATCACGAAATCCGGTCTGTTCTATCTATCTATCTATCTATCTATCTATCTATCTATCTATCTATCTATCTATCTATCTATCTATCTCAGTTTATTCATATCTATCTATCTATCTATCTATCTATCTATTCATCTATCTATCTCAGTTTATTCATATTCATCTATCTATCTATCTATCTATCTATCTATCTATCTATCTATCTATCTATCTCAGTTTATTCATATCTATCTATCTATCTATCTATCTATCTATCTATCTATCTATCTATCTATCTCAATCTGTTATGTATCTATGTATGTATCTATCTATCTATCTATCTATCTATCTATCTATCTATCTATCTATATCTGTCTCAGTTTATTCATATCTATCTATCTATCTATCTATCTATCTATCTATCTATCTATCTATCTATCTATCCTCTCACATTCTGCTCATATCTATCTATCTATCTATCTATCTATCTATCTATCTATCTATCTATCTATCTATCTATCTATCTATCTCAGTCTGTTCGTATGTATGTATGTATTTATCTATCTATTCATATCTATCTATCTATCTATCTATCTATCTATCTATCTATCTATCTATCTATCTCAATCTGTTCGTATGTATGTATGTATGTATGTATTTATCTATCTATTCATATCTATCTATCTATCTATCTATCTATCTATCTATCTTGCGCACATGAAGTTCAGCCCATTTTGCACATTATGGTAACAGCCCATAATCAATCAATTAACAAGCAACTTACAGGCATAGAGGAGGGTCAAATGCTGTATAGCCAAATGAAGTAAGATCAGTCCGATGTTAATCAGCTTAGTATCGACTTATTAATCAGCTGTTGAAGTCCTTAATCGTAGACTATTTAAGGCTATGAGACAGTCCATTTGGTAGAGCACTGAAGGGGTGCTAGCTACTCTACAACAATAACAAATAGGAAACATTCATCAATCTAACATGTTTCACTTTTATTAAAGCTTCACCAGAGATTGAGAGAAAACAGATATGACAGACCATATTCAAAAGAAAACCTCTTTAATGAAAAACTACATTGAAAACTTAATAATAACATTATTACTAACTATAAATACGCGCCTAAAACATTACATTACATCGCCATGTTTCTTTGAATCGATTCTTAAAGAATCTAACTTATATCTATATAATACAAAGAGTACATATATAAAAACAGTTCCAGATTAATAGAATACCACTCACTACGTCGCCTGACCACTCAAACGTGACAACATTAGAACTGCTCCTACTAGACAGACACATATACACAATTACGAATACACATTGTCATCCATTGCAGGTTACTCGCTGTTTCACCCTGTCTTTCTTGCCTTCGTGTCTCACCCCAAATTCCACCCCCAACACTATTTGTTTTGTCTTACTAAATATTGTCTCTTTACCGACTCCCTTTTTCCATTTTGATCATTGTTCTATCATTCATTCACACGGTTTTACACGTCTTCAATATACCTTTTCAGTGTTAGATTCTCCAAACCGTCTTTCCTCATCACATCCTCCAATAATTTCTGCTATGTTAATATTTTGCAGGATTTTTGGCGCGATTTAAATAAACGAGTCTGCCCAGAAAAGAAAACAACAACAACAACAACAACAACAACAAAAAAAGAAACAAACAATTAAATAAAAAAACAGGAAATAATTTTGTAAAAAAAATTCTAATAGACAAACATTAAGTAGACTTCCGCCCAAAACACAGCCGGTTTCAGAATCGAAAAAATATTGATTTTTATCATTATACTATGGGGTCCGATTCCTAATGTAAATATCGTCTCAATCTATGATCTATGGATTTCTTGAACAGCTATCAGTACTTTAGCGACAAATATCAAGTTTAAATCTGCGCTTACGTATTTCCCAATTCGGTTTGGGATGGAGTCATGACTGAAGTAAGCGCGGTTAAAAATTTGACATATGGAAATAAAAGTAAAGTACAGGTAACTCTTTAAAAGCAAGGGATAGAGTTGACACTATATTTAGGAAAGTTAAATGAACGCTAAACTACGAAAAAACGTTTTCAGGAAATGTCACAAACATTACCTCTCTTCTTTCGCTCTTCACTCACAGGATACTGAAGTGACAAGACGTGTCTCATTTCCCCTACGGAAAGACTAATTAGTCCCCGCAGCACGTGTCGCATTCCATACAACACAATAGTATATTTACTCAGCCCCCAGTTATAAAAAAATTAATTAGATCACAATAATACCTCTACTACAATATATATATATATATATATATATATATATATATATATATGTGTGTGTGTGTGTGTGTGTGTGTGGGAGAGAGAGAGAGAGAGAGAGAGAGAGAGAGAGAGCATATTATCATATAATTCGAACTTGTTTGATTGCCTTTGCAATTCTCCCTTGATAGGAAAAACTACGGCGGTTTCCTAGATGAATTTCATTTCAACATCGAGAAACGGATTAGAGAACGAAAAAGGATTATTATAAAAATAAATAGGCATAACATATATTTATTATTCAATGAAACATATATATATATATATATATATATATATCGTCTGGTCAGTCACAGCGAAAAATAGCTTTTGGCACCATAACATGTCATTAAGTGTCTAGAGAATTTTGTTTTATTTTATTTATTTACTTTTTTAGATGTACGCACATGAATGCCATCATTCGCTTTGAAATGGATACCCCCACCCTACCTTTCCGAAGGTGACTGATATGTGAATAAAAATTAACTCTTAGTCCCCTTATCAAAATGGTTGCCCCAGCCATTTCCATAGTAATTAATTTGGCGAATGAACATGCTTATAAAGATGCATAAATTTCAAGATTAGTTATTCCTAAATTTTCGCTTGAGGATGAAACATGGCTTGATACTTTAACTCAGTTTAATTTTAATAATTATATTGATGTTTTTCGGCTCTCGTTTTTGAAACATGAAAACTCTTATGTAGCGAAGGAATCATATTTAAAAAAAATAATTATATATATATATATATATATATATATATATATATATATATGTGTAAATAAAAAGAAAGAACAGTAAAGTTTATAATCCGGTGTTCTTATAGATATTTTTATTTTTACAAAATAGTGCTCAATGTAAATTTACAGAGCATTAATATTATAAATTAATTGATTTAAAATATGTTTTTCCGCCACACAGTCCTAACCATGTTTCAAAAATGCAAGCTAAAAGCTCAGAATTTAATTTTGTAATTAAATTAAAGACATTAGAAATTAAATTCTGAGCTTTTAGTTTCCATTTTTGAAACATGGTTAGAACTGTGTAGCGGAAAAACATATTTTAAATCAATTAATTTATAATATATATATATATATATATATATATATATATATATATATA